TTTTAATAAACTCTGGCCTTTTTTCCTTTTTTTTTTTTTTCCCTCCTTCCCTTTGGCTTGCTCGCTTTTAACTCTTTGCTTTCACTCCCAGCACTGCTCTTGTCTTACAGTCCCCACAGTTTGAGGAATCTCCAGGTCTACACAAAGCACTCAGTCAAGTGCACCAGGCACAGGCTGTGTCTTGCGTCTGAACTTAGTTTATTTTGGAAGCTGAGTGGATCTAAGCCAATGAGATATGCAGCATCTAGGAAAAAAAGCTAGGGCGCTCAGGCTAAGAAGCCTGGCTCTTCACCATGGGTCAGACCACCGGGCGCAAGCTGGAGCTTCTCCACTGCCTCTCAGTGGGCAGCGTAGCGTGGCTGTTAGGGGAGAAATTGTCTGTTAGAAGAATGTGATGGAGATGATGAGAGGTTTGGAGGAGCAACACTGCAAGAAAAAGCTCTTTCAGCTCTGAGTTAAGGGGGATATAATGATCTGCACAGACTGTGTCACTGCTGAGGAGGAAGAAGGCCAAGGAAGAGTGTGACAGAGGTCTGTAAGATGATGAATGGCTTTGAGACAGTGTATTTTCCTTTATTAGGTGGGATAATGAGTGAAACCAGTTTGCAACAAGTCCAAAACCACATGGAGCCTTCCATCTCAGTCTCCTGTGGAGCTGTGAGACTGTTGCAGGATGCTCTGGGTTACTAAAGGTTCGCATTGCTCCGGAAGCTTATATGACATACAGATAGGAGTCCACCAAGGGCTGTTAAGTACAGAGATGTCACTTCTGGCTCACAAAGTTATCAACCTGTAGGTTGCTGAAGGCTTTGAGACTCTTCACAGGGATATCAGCAAAGGCTTGTCCTGTGCTGGATCTCCCTTCCAAAAGGTCTCAGTGTTGGGAGCGCTGGGAGCACCCTACAGAGATCTTCCACCTGAGCTAGCGGAGAGGGTTTGGAGGCCTCTGGCTAGATGCACATGACACAGTCAGGATTTGTCTTCCCCTAAGGCTTGCTGACAGCAGATGAGATCTCAGCGCCACTCCCCGAGTGGGCTTTTAGGATCACAGTAATTCCTTCTTGGCCCTGCCTCTGTTGATCTCCACCTCCCTGCAGTCCTGGGCTTTTTACCCAGCCAACCCTCCTTACTTAACTCTGCTTCATTTAAAATAGAAAATTAATAATTAACTGGCCTCTCCTTTGAGCGGCACGTAAAGAAAATCCCTAACAGCCGCCGTACCGGTTGTCTGTTGCCCCGGAGTCTGTTTGTTTTTCCAACAAGCTGCTCTGCTGCTGCCGGTGTTTTGGGGTGGCCTCCTGACCGCCCTAGGGCTTTCCTCCACCAGCCAGAGCCACCCCTCTTTGCAAACAGCCCGTCCTGCTGCAATGCATCTCTTCGCCATGGTATTTGTGAAATATTATGGGTATTTCAGAAGCTGCCCACCTGTTTGCATCTGCAAGGGCTTCCCTCTGAGCCCAGGTGTACCAGCAGCACCCAGCAGCATCTCACCACCTTCTCTGACCTCCATCTTCTTGTACCCATCTTGCAGCACGCACCAACCTGCTCCAGCTGTTGGAGGTGAAACAGGGAGTGACTTTACCCTAGTCTGGTAAGACACTGGCACAGGTTGCCCAGAGAAGCTGTGGCTGTCCCATCCCTGGCAGTGTTCAAGGCCAGATTGGACAGGGCTTGGAGCAACCTGGTCTAGTGGAAAGTGTCCGTGCCCATGGCAGTGGGGTTTGAGCTAGATGAGCTTTACAGTCCCTTGCAACCTAAACCATTCTGTGATTCTGTGATAGGAAAGGAGGTAGGAGTTGATTGGTTTTTACTTAATTAATGTGTTTCCCTTTTTAATGAAAGATACTTTGGTTGGCCGGAGAGGGGAGTTTAGCCTTTGCCTTTTCCAGTGGAGAAAAGTCCTGAGTTATTTCGCTTCTGACTACAGACCAGGAACATCACCACCCTCTTCTTTGGGGCTCCAAGGACAACTCCAACAATGTCCAGAGGCACCTCTTTTAGGTACATTCAATCTAAACCCAAATAATTCTGGCAGAACTGGATGAAAGAAATCCTCTTTCATAGAGATTGACCCTTGTGATTGATGGACGAGCTTGCAAATGCTCTAACCTCCCTCCCTTATTTTTAGGACCCTCATAAAGCTGTTGTTAGTGTTCATCTCCATCCCAGTGCAAATCAACCAATGGGTTAATACTTACTGAGGGACAGGGAGATGCCCACACGCTCCTTCTGGGATACCACGGAAAACCAGGCTCAATCCAGGAAAATCTTCAGTCTTATCAAATCTTCATGCATCACGCTCCTGAAAATTTAGTGTTTCCCCTTATGCTACTAAAATTACTTGCAGCAGTGCAGGTGTGAGGGGTTTGGTCAGACTTGACCCAATGCTGGGGACCTTTATGCATCTCTTGGCCCCCATTGTTTTATTTTCTCTTTATTAAAACGGTGTTTCGCACAGAATTCCACCAGCAGCACCAGACCTCATCTCCTTTAGTGGCGTTTCAAGCAATTCCAGCCCCCACGCACTCCTCACAGGACAGTGAACTGTCACCTTTCTCCTTCCTGGCAGCACTGGGATACAGTTTGGGACCTTTGTCCCTGTGTGGAGGAGCAGGGTGGGTGCTGTGGGTGACAGCAAAGCTGTGAGGAGGGAAACCTGCTGGGGAAGACAATATTTTTCCCTTTAATCTCAGTTTTTGATGTTTCTCTGTAGGGCTGCAGATGGTGTGGAGTGGTACATGCCTGCCCTCCTGTATGCCTGTGGAGACGCTGCTCCAGCTCAGGGGATGATACCAACAGCCTCTGTGCATAGGACAACAGGACTGTATGGAAAAGCAGGTGAATGTACAGGAAGGTGGATGAGTGTACAGGAAGGCAGGTGGCCATACAGGAAGGCAGAAGACTGTACAGGGAGGCAGATGAGTGTGTTGGAAAGGAGGTGAGCCTACAGGAAAACATGTGAACATATACAAAGGCAGGTGAACATATGGGAAGGTGGGGTGTATGATGGATGACTGTATAGGAAGACAAATGAGTGTATAGGAGACAGGTTAGCATATAGGAAGGCTGTTGAGCATATGGAAGGCAGGTGGATGTGTGGAAGGATGGTTGAGTATATAGAGAGGCAGGTGAGTGTATAGGAAAGCATATAACCATTTAGGAAGACAGATGAACATATACGAAGGCAGGTGAGTGCGTAGGAAGGTAGATGAGTGCACAAGAAGGCAGGTGAGCGTACAGATCCCAGCAGCCCTGACCACGCTGCGGGATCAGTTATCTGTAGCCCCTTAGTGGCAGCCCCTCCCTCCACCAGTGTCAGCCGGTGCTGCAGGGGGATGGTGGGTCTGTAGGGCAGGAGCAAGACCCGGGTGAGCAGAAACCTATAACTCTGCATGGCCCTGAGCCACCCAAACCTCGCCTCACCAAACGCAGTCACATCAGCGCAGTTGCAAACCAGCGTGCTGGGGTTGTGCAAGTTGACTCACCCGTCCGCTTGCAGCAGCACGCTGCCATCCAGAAACAAGTGAAAATAGAAACATCCCCGGCTCCTGGGCCAGGAATAACCTTGCAGGGTATTTATTTTTTTGGTGGAGGTTTTTTTTCCCCTTTAAAGTGAAATCCTTTTTTTTTTCATTCTCCCTGACTCAGCCTCGGGAAAGCCACCACATTGTGGCAAAGTCTCCTCCCAGCTTCTCCACTGTGGCCTGTGGCCACCAGTGATGGTGCTGGTGGGGGCAGATGCAGGAGGGGAAAAGCCCAGTCTGGGGAGATGATGCCACATCCTGGTGGGACATGGTTTGTGTTTTTGCCAGGATGCTGAGCTCAGGAGCAAAAAGGGGAGGAGGAGTGCTTGAGGTTGTAGCCCAGGCTGCTTTGGAGGTTTATATGGTGAGAGAAGGAGGGAGGAGAGGATGGATGACTGCTGGGATGGTGAGCTGGGAGATGGGAGCTGCCAGTCCCTTGTGCCTCAGTGGTGGGACGGATGTGACAGGTCTCCTTGGGTATGCCCGCTTTAGGATGAGCATCCACTGGTGGCTGCCATCAAATGTCAAATGAGAGGTGGTGGGAAGCAGGGAAGGGGGAGATGAGGCCATGCTGATCCCCATGAAACTGCCTGGGCCTGGTGGGTGGTTGCATCCATAGGGGAGGTACAGGGACGTCCTGAGAGCAGGCACAACAGCGTTATCTCAGTCACGCCACATAACTGCTGCTCCTATTGTATGCTGCCCTCCAGGCCTCCCCAGGGCCCTGCCAGCCTTTTGAGGGGGGAGATAAGCCAAGCCCCACCGTTCTATCAGTCCAGCCCACACCTAGGATCCAGCAAAACGCTGCTGCTGTCTGCACCCCTGCCCAAGCCTTCATGGCAGGATGCTTGTCCCTCCAGCAGAACCCATCCAAACTGCTCCAGGGATGAAGGAGAACACAGCATGCCCATTAAAAATGATTAGAATAGCAATTAAGGACTATTTACACAGCTCTCTATCCATGTAAGCAACACATTCCTACAGGTGATTTTTCACAGGGAGTCCAACCTAGGTGGAATCACAGAATCATTTGGATTGGAAAAGACCGTTAAGATCATCAAACCCAACCGTTAACCCAGCACTGCCAAGGCCAGCACTAAACCATGTCTCTGAGCACCACATCTACACGTCTGTTAAATCCCTTCAGGGACTGTGACTCCTCCACTGCACTGGGCAGCCTGTTGCAGTGCTTGACAACCTTTTAGGGGAAGAATTTATTCCTCATATATAATGTAAACCCTCCCCTAGAGCAACTTAAGGCTGTTTCCTCTTGTTCTATTGCCTGCTACTTGGGAGAAGAGACAGACACCCACCTCACTACAACCTCCTGTCAGGCAGTTGTAGGGAGCGATAGGGTACCCCTGAGCCTCCTTTTCTCCAGGCTGAACACCCCCAGTTCTCTCAGCTGTCCCTCACAGGACTTGTGCTCCAGACCCTTCACCAGCTCCATTGCCCTTCTCTGGACCCCCACTCCAGCACCTCAATGTCTCTCTTGTAGTGAGGGGCCCAGAAATGAGCACAGGATTTGAGGTGCGGCCTCACCAGTGCTGAGTAAAGGGGAATAATCACTGCCTCCATCCTGCTGGCCACACTATCGCTGACACAAGGCAGGGTGCCATTGCTGGCACACTGCTGGCTCAGACTTGATCAACACCCCCAAACACCGTATTCATTTTTGGATTCTTTTTGGACCTTCTCCAAAAATAATCACACATTTTTCTTCTGTGGTTTTTCTTCAGTCAACCACATGTGGGGGTCACCCACAACCCGCTCCCCACAAGTCAATGGGCAATGGGGATGCCCTGGAGAGGCACTCAGGGACACCCATGCTGAATGGCAAGAGATAACCTGGGCCATCTATGCTTAATGTCAGATCTGGGGAGGGAGCAGGCAGCTCTCCATGGCTGCTGTCTGCAGACAGGAAAACCCTCCATCAAGCTTGTATGAACAGGCTGGGCTTGAGGCAGCTCCAAACCATCTCTGGGGTATCCTATCCCACATCAAAGCGCTTTTCCGGCAGTGATGGAGCTGCTTCTTCTTCTTGGGGCTCAGGGGGCCTGGCAGGCTGCCGGCGCTGTTTGCACACCCGGGCATACACAGGGACGGGGCTCCCCTCGCTGCCTGGCTCCTCCTGAGTGATGATCTCCTGCATGGAGATGCTCGGCTCGTCCTTGGTGGGCAGAGATGGGGAGTCCCCTGGGGTGCTGCCAGCATTCCCAGGCTTTTTCTGTATCTCAGATTTGTACCGGATGCTTTCATAGATTCGTCCATCGGGATCTGGCATAGGATCCACCATGGTTGTGCTGGTATCCCCCGGCAGAACCGGCAGCTCCCGGTGCCGCAGAAACTCTGGAGTCCTCAAGGCTGGTTCGGAGAGTGTGTGGGAATTGGGTATGCAGCCCAGCACATGCAGCCTGGGATCTCCTCCTGTGGGTTTATCCTGCAACTCACCAGGAGAGGGGGTGCCTGCAGGGAGGGAGAATTGGGGGTTATAGAATCATAGAAGCATAGAGCAGTTTGAGTTGGAAGGGAGCTTAAAGCTCATCCAGTTCCAACCCCCCTGCTACAGGCAGTGGCACCTCCCACTAGACTGGAGTGGGTACCCCCAGAGCCATCACACTGGGGAGCATCCCTGGCTGATGCAAGGGTAAAGTAGCACCCAGTAATTAAATGTGCCTCGCTCCCACTTCCTTCCCCACTCTCCACTCTTAGTAAGCAAGATAATACGCAAAGAAAAACCAGTGCAAGCATCCTGGGTCGCTGGCGGGGCCATGCTCCCTGCCATGGGGCCAGTGTGGTGCTGGGACCTGCCACCCTCCTTCCTGCACAGCGGCTCATGCCTTTGGTCAAATATTTATCCAAGAAGGAGGCTGTGCTCTGTGCAGGGTTTGTCAACATGGGGAGCTGGTGAGGCAGGACGCTCAGCCGGTTTGCTTGCCCCAGAAGAGAAGGAGACTGGAAAAGCTGTGTAACCTTGGTGTTTCTCCTCCTGCAGTAAATATGCAGAGATATGGCGGTCCCGTGTGATTTGGGGTGCCCCAGCTGTGGTTGGGGTGTGTGTGTGCAGCACAGAGGTGGGTTCAGATCTGCGCCAGAGCCCCTCAGGGCCACTGAAGTCTCCCCTACCCCACAACTTTGTCCTGGCAGAAAGCAGCCCCTGCCACCTGAGCACCCCAACATGAGCACTCCAGCATGAGCACCCCAGTGTGACCCCCTTTGCAAGAGCACTGTGGTGAACCCCAGCATCCCACCTGTGCACCCCAAGGTGCCAAGGCTTCATTGTCAGGGGTCCCCTCCCTGCCCCACTGCAGAAAAGCAGGAGAGGGCTAGGGATACCTTGCTGGGAGTGGGAATTGCAGCCAGGGGAGCCCCATGAATAGGGTTTGGGGGGTGAGCTGGTGGGGCCACCCCATGAAATACTGTGGAACCCCCACTGTAGTGCAAAGAGGAGCAGGAATTTCATTTGAGCATCTTGAAGCTCAGCCACGGTGTCATAAAAAAGGGAAATTATTAGTACATGAGCTGTAATCATCCTTGTTACCCAGCACGCTAAGTAAAGGGTTCCTGGAGCAAACGAGAAGAGAAACTCATCTTGTCTCTGTGGAAAAGCAAATGGGCTGAACACTTAATCCAGTGGGAAGGTTTGGAGCATTAACACATCTTTTTAAAAGCTTTTCAAAGCAATTCCCTTCTTATCAGCACAAAGGAGGCCACAGAGAAGGCCAAGGGAGTGTTCTGAAACACCTGACACGATCCTGCCAGAGGAACTGAGACTTGTGGCAGGTTTTACTGGGATACATTGCTGTAACTGGGAAGTTTAGGAGCTTCTTTTGGACCACGCAGCCTCCTGCGAGCCCCTTCCCCATGGCCATAGGGCATCCTCATCCCTTCTGCATGTCAGGGAACTGAAATAGCTGTTTGCTGCTAATGAGCTTCACTGATTTCCCCAATTTTGGCTGCAGTGACCCTGGCCGGGGGGTGCAGGGGTGCAGCCCCACACATCTGCCCAAGGGCTGGCTCAAAGTCCTGCCGAGCCCCTGCGTTCCTCCAAGTTCATCAGCTGGGCAAATCATTAACAGGGCTGGATCAGTTGAGTGAGGTTGAGCAAGAGTTGAGCCCAGGGACCTTCGACCACTGCCCAGCATCTCAGCATGGGGATCCCCATCCTGCTGCATCCCACACCTACAGCAGGACCTGGGAAGGTGCTCCACAGGAGCACCCACGTCCCTGGGTGCTTGAGGGCCCAGGGAACACCCACAGCAGTGGCACCAGGGATGGCAGAGGAGCACAGTCACCATCCCTGTCACAGGACCTACCTCCTGGCAGCGCCGCTCCCCTGTCGCTGGAGCTCAGCCTTGCCAGCTTCACCTGCAGCAGGAACAAATGGTTGCTCACATATTAGCCTCCCTGGGCAGTTGTGCATCTCCCCACAGCACTTGTGTGTCCCCCCTGGCTCTTGTGCATTCACTCAGCCCTCATCCATCCTCCCCCACAGTTGTGTATCCCCCTCCAGGCACTCATTTAACCCCCAAAGTCCTTTTGGAGCCCTCCTCAGGCACTTGTGCATTCTGCTGGTACTTGTGCATGCTCCCAGGGACTCACGCATCCTCCTCCCAGCACTCGTGCATCCCCTCCTGGTGCCTGTGCATTCACCCAGCACGTGTGCATCTGTCCCCCCCAGCACTTTTGCATCCTCTCCTGGCACTTGGAGAGGATGCCAAGCACCCACTCATGCACTCGTGTGGCAGTTACAAATGGAAAGATTTTCCCCGTGACAGGCCAGCGTTTGGTCAGTCTGCCCTTCAATTAACAAGACATGATTTTGTAAGGCTCTTCTAATCAGGAATTTCTGTCCTTGAAATAAATCATCCCAGAGAATGAAAAGAAACCTGATAAAGCCAATGAGGAATTTTGTTCTGAACTTTGCATTAACCTGTAGTCATTAACACGGTAAAAGCTCCCTACCAGCCCAAGCCCCATCCCCAGAGCATGTGCGTGGTGAAAGAAGTACGTGCTGTGTCTTTAAAAAGAGGCGAGAGAATGGAAGAGCCAATGATAGCAGACACAGGGTGTGACATACCCGGAAAACACGGATTTTTGCTGTTTGAAATGTACAAAAGTGGACAGGGGGCAGAGCGAGGGGTGAGAGCTTTGTGGTTTAGCACCGAGCACCAGACGTGGTGCGATTTGGAATTAAAACAGTACCTCAGCTTTGTGTGTAGGTGTTCGGCACAGCAGGTACCGGATGCTTTATTGAGGGACAACATTTCTGGTGACCCCAGTGGGACTGCACTGACTGCCTTGCATGGATCATCTTGCTGCATGAGTGGGGAGCAGTGATCTGAGACACCTCAGGTCCCCCCTCCTGCAGCTGGGCAGTAAGTGACACAGCAGCGCGATGCCTCCATGAGATACTGAACAAGGAATACAAGGGACTTTGGTGAGTGGAAAACCTGTTTCCGCTTCTGGTTCTGTTTATGGTTATTCTGCATAAACTGCTCCATAAAAAGATTGCAGCAAGTTTAATAAGCTTCTAACGTAGAATGGTAAAATCAACGAGTTTGGAAAAGACCTGTAAGATCACCAAGTCCAGCCATTACCCCAGGACTGCCAAGTCCACCACTAAACCATGTCCCTGAGGACATCTACATGATTTCTGATCACTTCCAGGGACGGTGGCTCCACCGCTTCCCTGGGCAGCCTGCTCCAATGCCTAAGCACCCTCTCAGTGAAGACATTTTTCCTAATACCCAGTCTACACCTCTCCTGCGCTGCCCTGGTGCAGCTCGAGGCCGTTACCTCTTGTCCTGTCACTTGTCACTTGGGAAGGGGGTGTTGGGGCGAGAGCCCTATCCCCTTTCCCCACCGCCCCCGTTCCGCGACTGCCCCCCCCTGCGCCGCGGTGAGAGGGAAGGGAAGAGCGAGGGAGCTGCTCTGCTGCGTACGAAACCCTGCCCCGGCATCAAGTCGGCTACGAGCGATTTAGCGCCGGGTGCCCCAGTGCCACGCGGTACGCGATGGGGGAGAGGCGGAGCCGCATTCGTCCGCCCCTCCGGTCGCTCGGCCCTGGGCCCGCTCCGCAGGAGGCGGGCAGCTATTGCGGGCGCGGCGGTGCCCCCGCGGTGTCGCCGCGTCTGGGCGGGACTCGGCGGCTTCCAGCCATGAGCCTGCAGATGGTAGCCTCACACCAGGGCTCCTCGGTCAAGCGCGCTCACCGGGGTCTGAACCTGCGGTTCCTCTTGCGCTGAGCAGGATTACTATTGCAACAACACGTCGTCATTAAGGGTAAAACTAACCGGTCTCACGGCAGTCTAAACCCAGCTCATGCTCCCTATTAGAAGGTGAGCAACCTGATGCTTCACAACAGGAGGAAATCATCGAAGGATCGAAAAGCAACGCTGCTCTGAAAGCTTGACTGCCACAAGCCACTTATGCCTGTGGTAACTTTCCTCATACCTCCTACGTAAAACCCAAAGAGCAAAAGCCAGGAGGATCACGAGTTGGTATTTGTGAAGAGCTTTTGCTCTTCTGCTCCTCTGGAGGTTTCTGTTCTCCCTGAGCTCACCTTAAGACACCTGCATTGTGCTTCTACATGTGTACTGCCCATTCAAACTCCCCACCTGCCACTGCCACTGCCACTGGAGCAGGGCCAGAAGCAAGAGCCTCCCTCAGGGCTCTCTCCCCTGCCCCACCAGGTAAAGGACAAACAAACAGAGAGGTGGTATTTCACCAATGGCTGGGATGCTGGCGGGCAGGATGCTCCACGCTGCTGAGCACACACTCAGCCTCCCATTTACTCTACACCTCTCATGTCTCTTCACAGCGCCGTACTAGAGTCAAGCTCAACAGAGCCTTCATTCCCCACTGATTCCGCCAAGTCTGTTCCCTTGGCTGTAGTTTCACTGGAGAGGGACAGTGGGAATCTTGTTCATCCCTTTGTGCATGTCACTGATTAGATGATGAGGCATTTGGCTACCTTGAGTCATTGTTACTCCCACTGTTCACCTGCACTTCATTGAATTTCTTCATTCTGACATTCAGACCACTGGGCAGAAATCACAACGTGTCAGCACCCACCATGGGCCTTTGCAGTGCTTTGTTTTGATTAAACATTAAGTGAACCCATTCCAGGGCACCCAACCCTTCACAAGGAAAAGAGAACTCTCCCCAGGGCTCTCACTGGCTTCTCCAGATCAGTTGCATCACTGCACTGGGCACCTCTCTGGGTTAGGGGATCTGAACCTGACTCCCTTTTGATCAGCTGAGGGCAATGGAGGCCATCGCCTGCCCTTTTGGAGCAGTGCTCGCGTATCACTTAGAGCCAACTGACCCATGTTCAACTTCTGTTCACAGGGAACCCTGCTCCACTTCAGCCTTCAGAGCTCTCATTTGAATATTTGCTACTATCAAAACCTGCACCTTCAGCACACACACACACACCCCTCCACCCCGTGCCTGCATCCCAGGCTTCAAGGTGCAATGCAGTGGCCCTCCTGCTTGTCATAGCATAGCCCCTCCCAACCCTTGCGCTGATAGTGACAACCGGGTATGGGCCTGACACTCCAGCACCATCCATTTTCAAGGCTAGTTGAAGAGATAGTATGGTGTGGCTTGCTCAACCGAAATACCCCCTTGTACCCCTTTAGTGTGAATCCTGAAATACTGGAGTAAATTTAGAGGGGATCCCCTAACAAAAAAAAAACACATTAAGAGATGCTGTAAACAGTGGTGGTCAATATGTGAACTGGGCAGTAGGGAGAAGAGAAGGCTTCATGGAGACCTTAGAGAAGCTTCCAGTGCCTAGAGGGACTGACAAGAAAGCTGGAGAGGGGCTTTTGGCCAAGGCCTGTAGGGACAGGACAAGGGGGAATGGCTTTAACCTGACAGAGGGGAGATTGAGATGAGATCCTAGGCAGAAGTTGTTCCCTATGAAGGTGCTGAGGCCCTGGCACAGGTTGCCCAGAGAAGCTGTGGCTGCCCCATCCCTGGCAGTGTTCAAGGTCAGGTTGGACGGGGCTTGGAGCAACCTGGTCTAGTGGAAGGTGTCCCTGCCTGTGTCAGGGGGTTGGAACTGGATGAGCTTTAAGGTTCCTTCCAACCCAAACCATTCTGTGATTCTGTGATTCTATGTTCCCTGTGCTGACACTGGAGCGATGTCAAAGCATGTGTGAGACACGGGCTGGAGGACATATGGGGTCAGGCCACTGTCCCCTATGCCCCCATCCCACCACCTTTCCCTCCAGCGGGAATATCAGCCACTGACAGCCACCCGAAGACACAGTGGGGACCCTCGGGGACTCACCCCTTGGACAGGCTCAGGGTTTTCTTTTGTTTTCTGGGTGGAAGATGGCCGGTTTGTCCTGCAGAAGAAGGAGAGGTCAGCGGTGCTGCAGCCCATCCCCAGGGATGCCTGGGTCAAGGTGGGCTCAGAGGTCACACAGCTCCCCCGTCCCTTCGTCTTGCTGCTGTTTTCTGTTTATTCACCCCTATGTCCCCTGCCCCAGTGCTCATCCCCTCTCCACCTGGCTGCAGAGGTTGGTTGCACTCAGAGCATCTGCCAGCACAGAGCTCCCTGCTTGCCATCCCCCATGGGCATGGACAGTGACAGCCCCTCTCCACCCATGACATTTCCCTGGAGCCCACAATATCCTTGGCAAACCCTCAGGAAGAAGTCAGATTCCCTCTTTTTTTGCCCCTTGTCCCAACCAAACATACCTGTGGAAGAAGGAGCAGAGGAGGAGCAGGAGCAGCAGCAAGAAGCCAGTGGTGGCCAAACCCCAGGCCACTGTGGCTGCTGACCCCACTGCCAGCACTGGAGCCATCGAGCCCCCAGCAGGGAGGCAGACCTGAGGGAGAAAGAAGCCCAAGTCAGGCCACTGGAAGGGGGTTGGGGTAATAACAGGGTGCACAGGGCTGGGTAGGGAGTGCTGGAGGGGGCTCCCATTCTCCCTTTAATATCAGGATCAAGTTTTCCAGGGATACCTCCCCATCCCTTTACACCCTCAGCCCAGCACCATCCCACCCTGCTCTCCCTTCCCAGGAGGCAGAGGATTTTAGTGTGATTGCAGGTGCAGCAAAGGTCCATGTGTTGAACAAACACATAGTGGTGGCACCTATGGCCCCTCTTGCTGGCAGGGTCAGGGAAGTCATGCCCCATCCTGCCTTCTCGGAGCAGTGGCTGCTCTCATCTCTGCTGCGCGGGGCAGCAAGCGGGAAAACCAGCTGGGGCATGGGGAGTGATGCTGCTGCACCGGGCGTCCCCACTGCATCTCCCCCGGTGCCCCTGAACCCACCACCACCCTTGGGAAAACACACTGCCAGCATTCTGCCCAAAATCCAGCTTCTTCTTCCTCCCAAACCCCCCTGTTTAAAATTTCGGGTGAACTGAGCTCCCCTGAGCCCTCCTTCGAGATGAGAGCCCGGCAAACCGAAACGCAGAACAGGCTGAGCCCGCTCTGCCGGCTGTGACTCAGCCTTCCCGGCATGACATCCCAGCCCTTGGAGCCATGCCGGGGGTCGGGAACCCCACAGTCCGGCAGCTCCACAGCCGGGATCCCCCTGGCTGGGTGTGAAGGCAGGCTGCAGCCTGGCGGTGCTTTTGCCTCTTGGACAAAATTCATTAGGGATTTATTCCTAATGGATGCTCCAGGCATCTTCCTTTAGCTGATTTGCCAGCCCTAGGACACACACTGGGTCTGAGACACCCATGATGTCCTGCACCACTGAGCCCTCCAACCCACCACACCCTGTGCCAACCTGCTCTGCCTCAGTTTCCCCAACTGTGCCCTGAGACGAGGCAGACCAGCCTCAGCTCAAGGTGCTTTCCTGCACCCCACCTTGCTTAGCACCTCAACCCAGGGTGGGGACGGGTTAGGGGCTGGGGTCACCCCATGGCTCAGGACCTCCCCGTTCCCCCCCCCCGGGAAGCCACTCACCCCACGGCAGTGCCGGGCGCAGGCGGCTCCTCTCGCTGCTCAACTTTGGATGGGAGCGGTGGCTGGGTGGCACCCGCCGCACCCCGGCTTCCTGCTCCCGCAGGACACCCGTCAGCACCCGGGCCCGACCGAGCACGATTCCATGTCAGGGGAAGGCTGCACCACTAGGAGGGGTCCTGCGCTCCCAGCATCCCTGAAACTTGCACCCCCAGGAAGGATCCCGGTTCCCAGGAGGTGTCCTGCACCCCCACACCCAGCAGCTCAGAGACCTGCAACCCAGAAGGGGTTCTGGTACCCCAGGTGGGGTTCTTGTACCCCCAGAGACAGTACTTGTGAGACTGGGAATGTGTGGAGGAGTCCTGCACCCACAGAGCCGGCACTCCGGAAACCCACAGCCCTCAGGCGGGTCCTGTACTCCCGGGAGGGGTCTTATATCCCCAGACCCCACAGCCTTGAAACCCACAGCTCCAGGAGGGGTCCCTGCACCCCCAGAGCCAGCCTTCCCACTGAGAAGAGCCCCCAGAGCCAGTCCCTTCCTGCTTCTCCCAAGCTGTCCCTGGCCACCCACCTCTTGTTCAACTCCTGTCCCTTTGCCCTGAATTTTGGACACTCTGGTTCATCCCCCATCCTGGATCACATCCATCCTGGATCTCCAGCTGTGCTGGATCCCTGTATGCCCAGGATCACTCTCCATCCTGGATCACCTCCCCGTTTAACAGGGCCAGGAGCAACTGGACCAGCTGCCAATGATGGACACACGCTTGGCTGTAAACCAAAATCAATCATTAATAATAAATACAAATAAAATAATACATTAGTAACAAGAAATAATGCTAATACATAATAATAGTACATAATAATAAACAACCAAAATAATAATACTCTCCCCTTCCAGCCAGCATTTGCAAGCTGATGTGCGCAGAACCCCAGTAAGGGTGGCTGCCAATGGACAAACACACGCAAAAGAGGTCGAAAACACTGTCGTAACCAAAACACAGTAACTGCCTTGTCCCAGCAGAGGGAGAGGCCCAGTTCTGGGCAATAAAAAAAGCCATTTTGCCTGCAGAGATGTGGGATCACAGCATCCCGGCCCCGCCGCGTGTCCTGGGAAGCGGACATCACACCCAAGCGGTTCGCTGCCTCTCTGAGCCCGGGACATCATCGCTGGGATACTTGGTTTATTGCGAGCTAATCGAGGAAGGGTTCCGGCAGCAGATTTTCTGCAGAGGGCAGCACGACCTAGGAGATGGGATGTGCTTTTCCCTCCCGCCGCCACTGAAAGATGATGGAGATAATCAAATTCTTCAGCAAAATGCTCGATGGAATATTCTCTTGTTGGCTGGCAAAATGGTTTGGAAAAATCATCTTGATGAAAGGGAGATTTGTAGAAAATGACACTTCTGACAGTAAAAATTTGGAGCTTTTTTTTCCCTTCATTATTTCCATGCTATAAATGTGCTGGGACCTGGTAGGTTTTGGGGAGAAGCTGCAATGCTATGGGGCTTTGCCCAGTCTTTTGCTGGCTCTGAGCTCCTGCTGTAGAGGGACGGATCAGTGCTCCAGAACATCCAGAGACCAAAACCCAGGTGTTTTTTTTCTGCACAAATGTTGAAATAACCCAAATCATCACCAAAGAAGAGGTGTGCACCATCACCAACTGCACCATCACAGAAGAAAGAAAGGTCCCACTGAAAACTAAAGGTTCATTTGACTGGCTCAAGAGCAGTAAGCCCAGGGCCTGTCTACAAGAGGAGGATGCTCCAGTGTGAACATCAGCAGCTTTGCAGGTGATTTGCACTGTGGTGGCTGGAGATCTCTCTCCTTCAACAGTGTGAATTGATTCTCTGTCAGCTGAAACCATGCAAGGGGGAGCCCAGTGTGAATATGAATAAAGGTGGACATGTTGCATGTCGATTGAATGAGCTGAGATTTGATTTTTAATTCCTACCTAAGTGATTCAGCTGCAGATGAGAGGGGTCGGGGCAGCAGGGATGTCACTGAGGGGCCGGGCATGAGCTGGCCTTTCTCAGTGCAGCTCCGTAACACATCTCAAGAGGTTCTCTGGTCTTACAGTGAGTTAAACATAAAGCTGGTATTTGCTTTTCAAGGAGAGCACTGAGCAGTTTTGGGAGGTATGAGCATGGCCCAGCTTATTCTCCAGCCCCTCCACCTGCCCAGGTGTTATTAAATTAACTTAAGCAATCAGGAAAGCTTGTTCAAGGGTACAAAAATCCTCACCAAAGTATTGTGCTTCAGAAGCCCAAGCTGCAGAAAACCAGGCACCAGCTCACCACACTCCTTGCCTGAGGACTTTGCATCCTGCAGGGTCCCAGGGGTGGAATGAGTTTGGTCAGGTTGCAGTTCATGGGATGAGAACTGAGTGTGGGACCTCGGTGGGTACCAGTCTCTGTGCTGCTCAGCTGTGGGCTCTACTATGAAACAGAATGGAATGAAGGGGATGACCCAGCAGCTGGCACTGGCTCTAAGCTGGCCATAGCTTTGCAAGTGTCATGGGTGCAGAATGGGCTGCACTGGCCCTAATGTTGCTGCTTTTCCTGTGCAAAATTCACCACCCAGCTCCTGGCCATCCTGCAGCTTCACTGCACTAAAGCACCCTCCAAAATCCCCATCATCTGGCCAAGAGGTTTCCTTGGGCTACAAATATCCTCTGAGGAGCATCTTTGAGGATGCTCCAGTTTGGAGGAGAAAGCAAAGGAGTCCCACCGTTAGCTTTGCATCCTGAGAGCACCAAGATGCTGAGTACCCAGGGGCTGGGATGAAACAACAGCTGCCAAAACTGCAGCAAGCTAGACCCAAGCTGTCATCTTCCCGAAGTGGGAGCAATGGTGATGTTTGATGATTCTGTCCCTTCATGCTTTGTAATTAAGCCCTCTGTCTCCAGCAGTCATTTGTCACCCTATTTTAAGCTGGCTGGAGCTGCTGTACCATTCTGACGTTCTTGCTTCAAAATTTAATGACTTCTATAATATTCCAGAAGGCTGAGAAACAGCTCCATGGTGTGCCTGCGTCTGCTCCTTTCCATTTCCTCATGACATCTCCAGGCTCCTGTGTATTTTAAAAGCAGCTTGACCAAGTGATGGACACCTGTAGCTAAAACCTCCTCCTTGGGAATTGCATTTGGAGGTTTTGGCCCATCAGTGCAACTCAGGAAAGCAATGCCACATACATTGAAGTCGAGTTTATACCATTTTAATGCCCAATTATGCTGCCTGAAAGAAACCTGCTGATGTTTAAAGGTTTCTTACAAGTAACCCAGTGGTGTTGCAATGGGTTTTGGTATGGGTGACTGCAGGGTTCAGCCAGGGTGACACCACAACACCCTTTCTCTGCTGATTTCCCATCTCCAAGGGATCCCAGGAACCTTCTGGTTCACTCCGGCTCTCAGTATTGCCCTGGTATGGGTGGCTGCTCTCTGCAGCACCAGTATTTCCCTTCACTGCTGCTTTTCGGAACAACATCAGGTGCAAAAACTACTTGAAAGCTGAAGGAATTAAAATCATTTGCCTCCTTTCTTTCCTTTTCCTGGTTGATGTATAGGATGGCACAGCCCTAGCCCACCAGGAAGCAGAGGAAACTCTAATTCCTAGATTTTGAAATAAGCAGGGGAGTGAAAAACATCTTTCAGAAGCCTTTTGATTGTAGAACAAGGACTCTCAATATATCTATAGGGCCACAAAGCACCCAAGGCAGCAGAGCAGCCAGTTCAGAAGCCCAGTGCCCTTGCACTTAAGCACAGGCTTAGCTTGGGGCGCAGGAACCCCTCCAGCCCCATAGGAAACCCAGTGTCCTCAGCACCTTGCCTGTGTCAGTCACTGCTTGGCACAGGAATGTGAGATGGGGGAGCCATGGGTGAAACCCTCTCCTTGCCCCACCAAGATGGGTTGTCCTATTTGAGTAAATACCACAAATCACAGAGGATGTCTGGGGGTTTACAGCTTTCCTTTGGACTTTTCTGAATAGATTTCTGGCTACTTACATGAAAAATAATGTAATGGACATGATTATACAATAGATATAATAATCTAGTTACAAAGAATACAGTAATAAATATGTAGATCCCTATATACGCTCTATTATAGATACACCAAGCTATGTGGTGTATTATATATGCAACCAAGCTATATAATATGTGTAATATAATAGCTTAGATATAAGGAAGAAGTTCTTCCCTGTGAGGGTGGTGAGGCCCTGGCACAGGTTGCCCAGAGAAGCTGTGGCTGCCCCATCCCTGGCAGTGTTCAAGGCCAGGTTAGACATGGCTTGGAAGTGGTCTAGTGAAGGGTGTCCCTGCCCTGTTCAACCCAAGACGTTGAAGCTCACTATTGTAGCTATTGAGGTGTATTTTGGGGGTATTTAGGTGACAACTGATCACCAGCTGAGATGATGAAGCTCAGTGCTGGAGCCAGTGGCTTTGATGATTCATCTCATCAACTTCCCCATCATCTCCTCTGATGTCTGGTAAGACACCATGGTCACTCTCTAAAGGAGACTCCTTGTTCCTGGAGGCCCATCCTGGACCTTTCTATGCAGGGGTGATGCTGCTGACCATAATGGTAGGCATCCTTCTGAGGTTAGCGCTTTCACACCTTTCCACAAATCCCAGGATTTTGTAGCCCTCTGCAACTTCCTATAGAAGACAGAAGCCTTGCTTTCTTCCAGTGAGGACGAGAGGAGGGAGGCAGCCAGCCAAAGGCGAGACAAGCTGAGGAACAGCATCCAGGATAGGAGTGGGAGACCAGCTGGAAATCATTACCCCCAGGATCCAAAAGCAGCCGCAGCACATTGGTGAGCTCCATGTGTTGCACTGCACTTCCCACGCACATTTAAGCAGCTCCTGGGGTTGCAAGGGGCTGTGGGAAGGGGGTTCACTGTCCCCATCCATGGGACCTGGGGCTCTCTGTGAGGGTATCAGAAGTGCTTGGTGCAGATGCACGGGGTGGACATCTGTGCTGCGGAGCCAGAGCATTTCAAAATCAGGTTCATGGAGGATGTGGTTGCACCATGGAGGTGCAACTGAAGATGTGCAAGGTCCCCTTGCTTCTCCTTTGGAGCCACCATCTACATTTTCCCTTTCAGATGTGACACTTGGACTTTCCTATTTCTCTTCCTCCTGCTGCATCCATGCCAGATACATCTTTAAGCAATAGGGATCCAGTACCCATTGACTCCACCAATCCCAAATTTCAGGCAGAATGGGCAGAGGGGCATTTTTCCAAAGTAAGGCCAGGTGTTGCATTGAGCCCATTACGCAGCAGAAGAGGGGACTCAATGCTCATCACAAGTGGAAGGAGAAACTGCCAAAAAAAATAAAATAAAATAAAAGAAGAGGCTTTGGCAAAGAACAAGTATTAAAGATGCAGTACAAGAGACTTCTCTAGCTGTGAAAAGTAGTCAGTGGGATTGCACATTGCTTGGTGGCAGGACTGATGGGGCCAGAACAGAGAACTCTCCAACATGATCCTGCTGCATGCAGGGAATCAGAGCAAAACCCACCAGCCACATCCTTACCAGTAAGAGAAACTGTCCTCTGGTTCCACTGTAAGAGTACAGCCTTAGTTTATGAGGGGAAGCCAGATTTGACCTTGAGTTGAAGCAGCTCCTCCAGATCTGTCATCTTGAAGGGTTTAGAAGAAATGTGATTAGTCCCCAGCCTTCAGCCAGGAACAGAAAAATGTTGCTGTCATTTAATATATTTATTGCAATGAGGATGCAAAGTGTTTCTTTGGGCAGCAAGATGGTAGCATGTAGAATCTACCAAAGGGCAAAAGATTCCAATTCTCCTCTCATTTCCACCATTATAAATTGCCTATTACTTGGGGGCACCTTTTCCAAGAGCAGAACTGAGCTCAATTGCCATCCCTGGCTTTCACAGTGGTTGTGTAAGTTTACAACTACTGGTATCATAGTGATATATGCAGAGTCAGCTGCAATCACATCTCCTCAAGGTTAGTTTAGCTTTTGGGAGCCACCACAAAATTAATGTGGTAGCATTAAGTGGTGTATTTTGGTATTATTCTCCTTTTTCTTTTGATCCCAAAGTGCAGAAATTGAATCTGCAGCATGGTTAAACTGAGTTAGAGCTGGCAAAAAAAAAAAAAAAAAAAAAAGGACTTAAAATGAAAAAGAATGGTTGGAGATGGAAGAGGGCTCATATAAGAGCCAAACAACAGCTCCAAAGGCAGATTTGACAAGAGAAGAGCAAATGAATGCACGAAACTCGAGCCTCCGAGGGAGCACAACAGCCCTAAACAATGCAGAATTGTTAAAACAAAACGAAACAACAAAATACAACAAATAAGTTCAGAGCAGCCGGGTTTCTTGCCAAGAGCTTTTTCATATGGTTGAATATAATAAAATAAAGTGCTGGCAGAGCTCTGCTTAAAGATGATGGGATGGAGGAGAAGAAATGACAGCAAGAGGGGTGCAGCGATGGGGCTGGGGAATTACTTCGTGTTATTCCCTGAGCAGTGCCCAGTGAAGCACCTGGGGTCCACAGGATGCCGGCAGCACTCTTCAAAGCCATTAGGGACTGTGGTATTGATCTCAAGTGGAAAATATGCAGTGATGTGTAGCACACCCAGCCATCGGCCAGCCGGCAGGATGAAGGGGATCTTTCTTACAAAAGGAAACCAAGTGTAACAGCGGGTTGTAACGACTGCATTCACCCGCTGATACTGCATGTGAGCTCTGCTCCACTCAGCCTGATCCCAGCTCACAGGAGGGGAACGAGGGAAGCAGAGCTACTGCCACAACAAGATGATTTCAGAGAGGGATGAGGCATGTTCAGCTCAATTAGGAACATCTGTCCCTCACTGCCTGCGCTGATGCCTGGGATCCCATCCCGTCTCCAAAGACTCCTGAAGAACTCTATAAGCCCAAAGGTTTTCACCATTTCACAGTTGCATCCCTATTTCAGGCCTTTTTGCAAAGAAAAAATAGGGTCAGTGAGCAGATTCTTGGCATAGCAACAGGGGCCATGGAGGGGCCATCCACAGTCCTTAATGCAGAATTTTGGGGGTAAAGTGTGAGAATCCAGCACCTACCAATCTACAAACCAAGCATGGATTCCTGAAGGCATACACTCGGGAATGTGCCTTGTTTTCTGCAGTGGCTTCTGGAGGTGAAATGTTGGGGAGTGAGCAGAGGGGGCAGGAGGAGAAGCAGCATCTCTGAGGGCATCCACTGCACTTAGAACTATAGAATCACAGAATGTTTTGGGTTGGAAGGAACCATAAAGTTCATCCAGTTCCAACCCCCTGTCACAGGCAGGGACACCTTCCACTAGACCAGGTTGCTCCAAGCTGTTTCCAACCTGGCCGTGAGAACTGCCAGGGATGGGGCAGCCACAGCTTCTCTGGGCAACCTGTGCCAGGGCCTCACCACCCTCACAGGGAAGAACTCCTGCCTAAGATCTCATCTCAATCTCCCCTCTGTCAGGTTAAAGCCATTCCCCCTTGTCCTGTCCCTGCAGGCCCTTGTCAAAAGCCCCTCTCCACATTTCTTGGCAGCCCCTTTAGGCACTGGAAGCTGCTCTAAGGTCTCCCTGGAGCCTTCTCTTCTCCAGGCTGAACAAGCCCAGCTCTCTCAGCCTGGCTCCATAGCAGAGGTGCTCCAGCCCTCAGAGCATCTTCATGGCCCATGATGCGTGTTGGGACTCTGAACACAGCATGTTATAGCACAAAGAAGCTAAAGGCTAGAGTCAAATGTGCTCAAGAGGGATGGGAAATGAGTAGTACAGAAAACAGCATCTGGATGACTATTGCTGGATAGGGTATTTCAGGCACCACTGGTCAGCTCTTGGCTGTTGGTAGACAGGTCTCAAGCAAGTCAAACACAGGTTGACGTGTTTGAATATAAACAATCCTAGTTTAGACCCTGGAGTTGAACACCCTCCCATTTCATCTGCTCAAGAGATTGTGCAGATGTCAACATCTAGGTGGGTGCTCCTGATAGATGTTGCTGGGACATCCAGAGCAGCAGTTCTGCCTTTCCTAGCCTCTGAACAGCAGCTATTTAACAGGATGAGCTGAAAAATAGCATCCTTCAGGCCAAGGAAATCAGAGCTGTGTAATAGTCTGCTTATCCCAGAGTCACCCCGCGCACCATCTAGAGTGAGAGAAGAAGCCAACAGGAAACGTAATTAAAGCAAAAAGAGAGGATTTAAATCAAAATTGCCAATTTGGCTCTGATTCTCCACTTCCCCAACTGGAGAAATTCAGATCTGCAAGTCTGATCTGGACCATTTATCAGGATGGCTTCTCTAAAGAGCAGGGCTCCCTGCCTCTTTCTCAGGTACAACCTTGGCCAAAATAAAGCTAGAGGTTATTGGAAGTGTCTCCTGGAGATGCAGCGCCTGCCCTTCAAGCACATGAATTTCTCCAGAACTGTGGACAAGGTGGTATTTTTAATTCTGCTCAGAGTGATGCGTTGGATTGCTTCCAGTTCCTGCTCAATCAAAAGCATCTTGGGTCTGCATGGGGTTGAGCATCTTCTCAAGCAAAAGAGAAAAGCTCCTTGAGCAACCTCAGAAGTGCTAAGAGAGGGCACGTGGCATAAAAGCTGGAGCAGGAGGCAAGATGCAGCTGGTGAAGTCTGAGACTGACAGAATGACATTATGAAGAATATTCAGTTCCAGAATGAAGCAAAAAAGAAAAAAAATACAGCAAAAAACTTTACTAAAGATGATAATTGCTTTTATGAGAGCTGCCAAGGAGCTGTTGGCAAGGGACTGAAAATGAGATAGTATAAAAGAGTAAAGGAAACAGCGCAGAGAAGAGATTAATAGTGGGAGTGGTGCCTTTTCACATTTAATTCTCCTTTTAAATTTACTGTTGGAAAGGACTATAGTCGTTGATAGTGACACTTCCGAACTTGCTCTCCAAAGCAAGATTCAAAATCACTTGCCCTTGCCACATCCTTAAGAGAAAGGTAAATAAAATTATCCCCCTTTCAACATGAGGTGAGGAAAGCAAAGCCTTGGTCAGATCCACAGGCTGAGGAAATCAAGGATCTTCAAGGATTCACACCAATTTCCATCATCTCCCATTTTGCCCAGGAAAGTTTCCCCACCACTCCCAAGACTCAGTGATAAGCACGATGAGCCAGGAGATGAATTAAGGAAATCTAAACTCCTGCTTCTTGCTATGAGGCAAACTCACACCAATTTAAGTGGAAATGGGATCCTCTGCACACCAGCAGTATGCTCCCAAGGAGCCCCATCCAACATCTTCTGTGAACTGGTCCCAGTCATTCAGAGGGGTCTGGGGAGTAGGAAACGCTGGACCTAGGAGCAAAACCCACTGCACAGATGTGACCTGTGGGAAGGCAGTAGATTTGATTTCCCCTATGCCATCACCCATTGCAGCAAGGTGCAAACATTCTGGAGGTGATCTGGCACCTGGTGGAAATGGACGGAAAGTTGGTGGTTGCATAGGAGTCATAGGAGGTGTATGGGTTGATCAGTCCATGAAACCAATGCCTTTGAAACTCCAAAATAGGGGTTCCCAGAGTGTACAGAATGTCCTGAGTGGTGTCATGGGCATGGCAGAGATTTGGTAGGCTCTGGATGTTCCCTTGAGCTCCTGCCTGGCTTTGCTTGTCTCAGGTCTAGTTCATGCGGGAAGGTGTTTGGTTCCAAAGTCCAAAATGCCTGACTGCACCAGGACAGGTGCCACCACCGCCACTCCCCACACAGGCACCCCAGCACCAGCCTTTGCTGGATGGCAGTGGGTTAATGAAACAGCAAGCCCCGCAATATTACCCTCAAAATGAGAAAACTCACCTAAAGGCACAGTTCCACCTATATCAGACTTCCTGAGTTCACCAGTGCATTATTTTTCACACTCCTCAGTAAAGCAGGTTCTCCAGCAGGTTTCTGCAACAGGGAATTTTCTTGGGATAAAGTGTTTTGCCCCACGTGTTTTGAATTGCATAAACATGAAAATGAGTCCGGTTTTTATTGCCCTGTATGTACCAGCAACCAGCCAAGCTCTGGTAACGGGTTCATTAGCAGCACAAAGATTCATTCATAGCCACACAATTTCCTCTTTAGAATAAAATTTCAGGATTTTCTTGTCATTCTCCCATAGGTCACATAACTCAGAATACCACACGCCTGATGTCTTCAGTGACGACGATGGCTGCATCTTTCATCTGTTGTTTAACGGCGTCAGAGTCTGCTTATCCTGTTGTTATACCCAGCATGAGGGGAGTGAAGGAGGCTAAAAGAAAAACAACTCTATCCAAAGGGAAAATCTAAAATCAGAAGTCATACAGACCGTTTCTAAGCTGCAGGAAGATCCTTTGCCATTACACTAACGATTTTAAATGGAAGAGTTTTCTGGCCCAGGTATTAGCTATTCATGAAAAAGCCCCATTCATCTGCAAACGTGGTGATGCTGTGTTCAATGTAGAGGATGGTGCAACCAGAATGTACCATTCTCTCACATTTTGCTAATCCATGCCTAGATTACTAATATAAATCAGGGCATTTCTCAGGTCTCTTTCTCCTTCTTAGCGCTCCAAGGGCCAGCTTGAGAGCTGGGGATAACTTGTACAGAATTAAGCTGACCCTGCTGACCTCCTGTTAACCATGATACGTATTTTTTAACTATGATACACATTTTTTAATCATGATACACATACCTTTTACAGGGGTGTCGTGGTTTAAACCCAGTCTGCTGACCTCCTGTTAACCATGATATGTATTTTTTAACTATGATACACATTTTTTAATCATGATACACATACCCTTTTACAGTGGGCCTGTGGCAGAGCATGAGGCTCACAAAGTCCTTGGCCAAACCAAAACAGGACAAGGGGAAAGTCAAAACATTGCACTGCACCAGCTACCAAGAAGGGGAAAAATGACTGCTACTGCTGAACCCAGGACAAGGGGCCTGTAGTAATAGGACAAGGGGTAATGGCTTTAAACCAACAGAGGGTAGATTTAAACTTGACATAAGTAAGAAATTGTTTACTATCAGGGTGGTGAGGCCCTGGCACAGGTTGCCCAGAGAAGCTGTGGCTGCCCCATCCCTGGCAGTGTTCAAGGTCAGGCTGGATGCGGCTTGGAGCAACCTGGTCTAGTGGAAGGTGTCCCTGCCTGAGGCAGGGGGTTGGAACTGGATGAGCTTTGAGGTCCCTTCCAGCCCAAACCATTCTGTGATTCAATTATTCTATGATTAGATTATGGGGAAGAGCTGTCACAAAACTGGGGACTCCTGCCTTGCTCCTGGCTGTCACCTTCCACCCCCCTCAGACTATCTTTATACCATCTAAAGAGATAACACCCTCCACTATCAGTGGAGAAGCCCTGTCAGAGTTGTGATGCCCAGTTTGGGAGGTAGTGTTGCCTGTTCCCTGGCAGAGGCAACCCAAACATTGGAGCTCTCCAAAGAGCAAATACCTTTTCAGAGTGCAAAACCCAAAGAAGTCTTGCTTGGAGGTGCCCATGCTGCTTGTTTTAGTGAAACATCAAGCTGTTTGACCTGTGAGGATGAAGCAGAGGTTTGTGAACAAAATCTCTTGGAGATTTTACTAATGTGGTCTGAATAATAAGCAGAAATCACATCACCATACAGCCTTCCTTTATATTACCCCAGCATCTCTGCTTTTGAGCTTTGTATCAGGTTTTTCTTCATCAAGGCAAAGCCCCATTTTGCCTTTCCAGGGGATGTGGCACTCCATGGAGTGCAGACAGGTTGCTTCCTCGGGGACCAACTCCTCCTCCATCTTGCCACGGGTTACTGCATTCCCTCGCTCCTACTCAGCATCCTTCCTCTTGCAGCACGGCTGCTGACAGAGAGGGTGTGCAATACATGCCTGCTCGCTTGCTACCGAGTGAACTTCCTGTGGTTTTTACAAAAATGTGTATCTATTTATGGGTAATCCAGGAAGATTTTTCCTGCTTTGCTTTCTCTGTAGTTACCTGCAGAGCATCAGCTCCCCTGCAGAGAGGACCAGATGGAGATCACTGCATTTTGCCCCTCCTGCTTATGTTAATTTTGATAAGGCTGGCTATGAAATAAAGGGTTATTGTTTACGAGGTGGTATCTGCAGGTCGCTGCTCCCCTCTGCCCCGGAACCTATGGTCCTGGCCTTGCAGGACACCCCAGGGAGCATTCTGGGGGCTGCACTGACCCTGCCTGCAGCACAGCACCCAACAGTGTCTCCATGCAGGGCTGGGTCCTCCTCCTTCCCAGCTTGTACTTACAATTTATTGCAGACTCTTTCATCTACAGAAATCAGTGAAATTCATGGTTGCGTGGGGAAACTATCTGCTGCTAAGTCCAGCTTTCCCCAGCTCTTCTGCATGGAGCTGCAGGAACCAGAGCTTCATTTTACACCTAAAAAATTACATTTGTCATTACAGCTGCCAAGGAAAAGTAAGAAAAGTGAGAAAAAGAAGTAGGAAAGACAGACATGTTTAACAGGGGGCACAATCAATCACTGCAACAACTTCCCTAGGGCAGTGGTAGAGTCCCCATTGCTGGAGGTTTTCAAGAGACAGTGGGATAGGGTGCTAGATAATCTCATCTAGGCTCTATCCCTAGATCAGGCGATCTTTCCAGGTCCCCTCCAGCCTGGGCCGTTCTGTGGACCTATAACCTCCTAAGCACGAATTGTCTAAACTAAGTCCTTGCCTCTTATAATCAGCCTCCAGCAGAGCTACAGTCAGGTATTCACAAACCACATTTTTGGCAAGCCACAATTTACATTAATTCTATACTAATATGAGGTTTGCATCGATTTAACTATATCAGCTGTGCTAATGCCAAAGTCCTCTGTCCAGGTAAGGTCTGCTCAGCAGTGCTGATGGTCTGAAACAGTGGCTTTGGCAAAACTTTGAATCATCCCCATTTAATTGTGCAGCCCAACAGCTCTAAACCCAGCGACTCAAGTCAGTACTATCAGCCAATTTGGCGGATAACATAGTATTAACTTCAGGAAAGGAGAGAAGATTAAAGAATTTCAACAAAAGCAAGAAAGCTCAGTGAAAGTAACAGAAAGCAAAGAGCTGTGTCTGAAGGAGCACTTGAAGTGCTGTGTTTCTGCAAGGAAACAAAATGGATTTGGGCATGAAAAGCTGAAAGCAGCTTTTATACAATAAGCCACCTGCTGCCAAGTTTTCTGTATCTCTTTTCACTTATCATCCATTGATTTGGATCTTAGGGATAATATTTTATCTCCTGAACCTGCTCCCAGCAATTTTATGTTTGACAAAGGTCCTACAGGCTTTGGTTGGAGAGAATCAGACCTTCCAGGAGAAAACACTGTTATTTTATGTTCTTCTAAGGCACTGTGTCAGCATACACCCATTAAACAAAGAAAAGCAATACATAGGATCACCAAGAGAAGGCAAATTGAATGTCATCTTCCTCTGACCTTCAGTTCTATCTTCAAGTTACCTGTATGTTTGGAAATGCTGCTACAATCAGGTGGTGAAGATATTGGTGCAGTCTTCCTGTGTATGCTTACAGAGGAGGTTTGAGGCAAGCCAGGCTCTCTGCCTCCCTTGCTGGCTTGTTTCCACTCAGAATTCAGCAACTGGAGAACTATTATTGGATATTTCATACATAGCAGATGGCTTTGCATTTGCTGAATCCTAAATGAAAATCACTAAGCCAGCAAGAAAATAATATTCCATTTTTCACTGTCCTTGGACTTGCTCTGGTCTCTCTGGGAAGAAAGCAGAGCTTCCCCAGGGAGGTCAGCCACACAATTCGGGAAGTGCTGTGACTACAAGAACAAAAGGGATTGAAGAAATAGTAAATATTTCTCTGACGTGAAATGTTAATTTGTCATCTGCATGGGCAGAGAGAGGGCTGCATGGCTGTAGCAGCAGTAGTTCTCTGATGCAGAAGATCAAGTACAAAGATGAGAAACCAAACCTCTAAGGGAACAGGGAGGTAGAGTTAAAAAAAACAAGAAGCCAACAAAAAACAAGCCGAGACGTACCAGGAAGAAATCCTGACACAGAGAAAAATCTCTTCCCTGAGCTATAAAGCAACATTCTGATGTCAGGATCTTAAAGCACTATGTAAATACAAATAAAACTTTGTAATCTGGTACTTCAGTAAGTGTTGTTATCCTCAGTTCCATCAGTGAGGACACAGACACAGGCAAGCTCAGCGACTTTCTCAGACTTCCAAGTCATGTCTGCAGTGTAGCTATGTCCACAGTTCCCATCCACAGCTCTGTTCTTCCAACACAAAACATGCCTGGCTTCTGCAAGCAGGTTCCTCAGCTCTTCACAGCAAGAAAATGCCAGGAGGCTCCTTCCAGGACAATCTCTGCCCTCATTTGCTGAGCAAAACATGAAGGACCTCTTCCCCACCCTGCCTCAGCATACACACACATGTAAATGGTTATGAGAAAATCCTGGGGACCCAAACCCTGTAATCTTAATGTAGGGAATATCCTTGACCATAACTCTCTAGCACCAGAATTTCCCAAATTATCCAAAACTGTGTTTATTAAGATGGTTTCAATGGTTGCACAAAACTCTGGGGCAAAGAGACCCTTGATAGATGGACATTTCCAACGGTACAGTGCTGGTTTTATAATCTGTATTTTATATATTTTCTAGTCTATTCATAGAATCATTTAGATTGGAAAACACCTGTAAGATCACTGTGTCTAAACATATTTAAATTTAATTTTGCAGCCATCAGGGTGCACTTTCTCACATGGAGGTGTCACATGGGTAATGGAAGTGCATCAACCTTCACCTACACTATTTTCTGTGTCTTTTCAGCAAGGTAAACCCTGCAAAATTGGCCTGCACAGAGTAAGGTTATGCTTTCTAAGAAGTCAATCAACAACTAGAAACCAGCATCCATGGCACTTGGCAGATCTTCCCAGCAGTGGGCTCAACGGAGCCAGCTTTTCAGAAGGAGAAAGAGAATGATGTCCCACTTCCAAGAGCATCTCACCTCCTCCCAGTCTGCTGTTGGTAGTGCTGCTTGATTTGTTTGCAATGGCAGAGCCAAAACCACTAATAAAACTTGCATTCAAAAAATTGAATAAAGAAGTGGAAAGTCTCCATAAAATAAAGAATCACTTTATGGTCCCTTTGGGTTTTCTTTCTTTTTGTCTTTCACTTCTTTGTGGAGAATGTTCTCCATGAGATGCAGTTCTTTTCTGACTGACCTTTAATTCTTCTGATTTCTCACTATTCCTTTTCTCTGCTCTCTTTCACTTCTGTCCTCCTTCATGTGTCTACCAACACAGTGCCCGAATGCCTCCCAATCATTTTTGTATCCATCCTTACAACAACATCCCTATGGAAGAGAAATTCTCTTACCACCATTTTGCAGGTGTGCAACTTGGAGAAACTGAGGCAAGGATTTGTGTCCTCTGGTGTGGATATACCTGGTGGTGGCCTGGAAATTAGAGACTTGGCTGCACACGTTTCCCTGGGAACCTGTGGGAAGACCCCAATGGGGCAGCTTGTCCAGGGCCTCTTGGCATTGAAGGTGGATGGGACAACTTGCTTAGGAAGCCTTGGTGCCACAATGAGTGCTAAAATGGGATGGGATGGATCCAGGCATATGCAACTACTCCAGGTCACACAGAGTTTCTGCTTTTAAATGAACACACAGAATAATGGGATCACTGGCAAATGCTCTGACCGCACCACCCAAGTCTTGGAAGGCAGATGCAGGAACTGTGAGAATGAAGACCCTAGGCCCACTGTAGGAGAGGAACTGGTTCGAGACCATCTTAAGAACCTAAATGTACACAAGTCCATGAGACCTGGTGAAATCCATCCACGGCTCCTGAAGGAGCTGGCAAATGAAGTTGCTAAGCCACTCTCCATCATACTTGAAAAATCATGGCAGTCAGGTGAAGCTCCCAATGACTGGAAAAAGGGAAATATAACCCCCATTTTCAGTAGATGACCCAGGGAATTACAGACCAGTCAGTCTCACCTCTGTGCCTGGCAATATCTTGGAGCAGATTCTCCTGGAAGGCATGCTAAGGCACATGAAAAACAAGGTGCCTGGTGACAGCCAGCATGGCTTCACTAAGGGGAAATCCTGCCTGACCAATTTGGTGGCCTTCTATGATGGGGCTACGGAACTGATGGACAGGGGTAGAGCAGCTGATGCCATCTACCTGGGCTTGTGCAAAGCGGTCGACACTGTTCCACATGACATCCTTGTCTCTAAATTGGAGAGACATCAATTTGATGGATGGACCACTTGGTGGATACAGAATTGGCCAGATGGCTGCATGCAAACAGCTGTGGTCAATGGCTCAATGTCCAGCTGGAGACCAGTAACGAGTGGTGTCCCTCAGGGATCGGTGTTGGGACCGGTCTTGTTTAACATCTTTGTCGCTGACATGGACAGTGGGATTGAGTGCGCCCTCAGCAAGTTTGCTGATGACACCAAGCTGTGTGGTTCAGTTGATACCCTGGAGGGAAGGAATGCCATCCAGAGGGACCTTAACACACTTGTGAGGTGGGCTGATGCCAACTTCATGAAGTTTAACCATGACAAGTGCAAGGTCCTACACCTGGGTGGGAGCAATCCCAGGCACAGCTACAGGTTGGGCAGAGAAGAGATTCTGAGCAGCTCTGTGGAGAAGGACTTGGGGATGTTGGTCAATGAGAAAATGAACATGAGCCAGCTTCAGTGTGCGCTTGCAGCCCAGGAAGTCAACCGTATCCTGGGCTGCATCAAAAGGAGCGTGACCAGCAGGTCGAAGGAGGTGATCCTTCCCCTCTACTCTGCTCTTGTGAGATCTCACCTGGAGTATTGTGTGCAGTTCTGGTGTCCTCAACATAAAAAGGACATGGAACTGTTGGAACAAGTCCAGAGAAGGGCCACGAGGATGATCAAGGGACTGGAGCACCTCCTGTATGAAGACAGGCTGAGAAAGTTGGGGCTGTTCAGCCTGGAGAAGAGAAGGCTGCGTGGAGACCTCATAGCAGCTTTCCAGTATCTGAAGGGGGCCTATAGGGATGCTGGGGAAGGACTCTTCATTAGAGACTGTAGTGATAGGTCAAGGGGTAACGGGTTAAAACTTAAACAGGGAAGTTTAGATTGGATATAAGGAAGAAATTTTTTCCTGTTAGTGTGGTGAGGCACTGGAATGGGTTGTCCAGGGAGGTTGTGAATGCTCCATCCCTGGTGGTGTTCAAGGCCAGGCTGGATGAAGCCTTGGGTGGCATGGTTTAGTGTGAGGTGTTCCTGCCCATGGCAGGGGTGTTGGAACTTGATGATCTTAAGGTCGTTTCCAACCCTAACTATTCTATGATTCTATGATCATGGAATGGTTTGGATTGGAAGGAACCTTAAAGACTGTCTAGTTCTAAGCCCCATGCCACAGGCAAGGACACCTTCCAGTAGAACAGGTTGCTTAACACAATCTCCAGTTTCTCCTCTCCCTCCTTATTCCTATGGTTCTTCCAATCTGACTTCATTTCTTTCTTTAGCTTCCTCTCTGTTGCAGTCATTCTCCTTCAATATGGACATCACCTGCCTCTTTCTGAATTCCCATTTCCTTGTCTTTACCTTTCTCTTGCTCTCCCAGCTGTTCACCTGCACGCTTGCATTGCAGGACAGCACTGGCTCCCTGAAGCCAGCTGTGAAGCAACAGCCAGAGAGCTGGAGACTTGCATTGAAACTGTTAGGAAACTAAAAGCAAAGAGTAAAAATAAATAGTTGGTTTTCATCTTGAGTACAAAGCTAACATCACTGCTACTTAGGGCTCTGCAGTGCCTAGTTGTTAAGGCATTTATTAAAAGCCTGACTGGGAGATGTGCAGTAAAGACAGGATTTGCAGGTGAGGCTTGGTTTGGCAGTGTCTAGAGAAAACACAGACATTTCTCAAAGGAAGCGATGCAAATCAAAGCAGCAACATGGTGGCAGGTTGCATTGGTAAGAACTGCAATGGAATATGCACCGGGAGAAAAACTACTCCTCAGCTACATCTTTCAGGAAAAGGACAAGCACATCATTGTAGACAGATCTGTGAAGAGCTCTGCGCTGAAAGTGGTTTAGAAAACAAGCAAGCAAATTCTTCGGTTACAGAAAAGATAGTATGTAGAGGAATCGTATATAGCAGCTTTGTGGAAATTCACAGCTGCGTGTCTTTAATCCTGGCTCAATCAGGGTATTGCAGAAAGGGAGGGGATTCAGAGCTCCTAACAATATTAAATAGCATGTTAGGGCAAACTGATGCTATTTCATTACGAGATGAGGAGAACAAAAGCTGACATTTAGGCCCAAATAGGACAATTACATGATGCAAAGCTAACCGCAGGTGGCTTTGGGTGACCAGCTCATAAACTAACTTCATAGAAAGATTTTTTGCTGACTGCCAGTGTGTTAAGCTTTGGTTCCTCACTACAATTGTTGCTACTCAGTTGTAAGTTTACACAAGGGATACCATACTGTACAGTCTTGACTGAACCAGGAGGTGAACACTGCATGTGTTTTACATCTTTATCTGCATGAGAGACACAATGCACACATTTCACTCTGGGGGGTCAGCTATATGGTAAGACCCCTACCAAGGCAGATGCAGGGAAACAACATAAAGATAGCTCCCATCTCCTGTGTCATGTGCCTGAGAACCATTAACTACTAGATGGTGCCATGCACAAGTAGTTATTCCCTCAGTGGGAGCACAAGATCTTTCAGACTGCATTTAGTAGGACCTACTTGACTCCATTTTCACAGTGTGTTTCTAAATCTGTTAGTATACTGTCACCAAACTATTGAGCTTTAATATTGACTAGGCACAGCGACTGATAAATCATCTGAGGTAATGTGAGTGCAGTTTGCCCAGACATAGATTTTCTGGCAGTCAGGCTTTGATTTCTGTTTTGTATGCATAATACCTTAGCACACATCTCTTAATAATGTGGTCCCATTTAATTTCCAGGATTGGAACTTAAATCAACCTGGACATCAGTTTTTATATAATATATATTTATGGTGATAGGTATTTTTGAGCTAAGAGGCTGTTACTGAGAGAGCCTGCTGAACCATCAGTAGTCTCAATGGAAAATAGTTGCACATGGGGAAAAGCTGTAGTTTTTAATGCTAAAAATATTATTCAGTTTTAATCCCTTTTTACTGTAAAATTAGACACATTTCTATTGCTTTTGATCCTACTTATAATCCTAATATGACTTAATTAAATTTTCATTTGATTCCTCAATTTGATATTCCCTGTCATTGAACATGATGTGTGAACATTGAACATGATGTGTGAACATTGAACATGATGTGCTGTACCCCTGATTTAGGCAGTTCTAGTTTCTATGCTGAAGGAGTTAAAAACTCAGCTCATAAAACACTATCTCTTAGCCCTCTCACAATGTTGTATAACATTACACCCAGCCCAGTCATAAGTCCATGCTGTAAATATTTCCTTTACTTGGAGGCTACATTTTTGCTGGATTTTGCCATTGAAAAAGAAAATCAAAATATTTTTTTTTTTGTGATGTAACAGCAGGGCATGCCACTGCCTTGTTACCACTGAGGGGAAGTCTTGTATTGATAAACCTACAGGTTTCTTTTGCTCATGAATGACCCCCAGTTTCAAAAGGAGAAAGCTATGATTCAAATGTGTCTCATTCCTGGCTTATTTATCACTGTATTCTGGGATTTTACACTCATAGATTGTGGTATTCTCCAACCACATCTCAAGTTGCTTAAATATCCAAGCTCTGTTATAATTCCTCTCATTTACACTAATTTCCAACCAGTTGGAACAGGGATAACCTCTCATACTTAGGGTGTTACCATCTTTAACCTGAACGTTGTACCTTCCATGAACTCAGGACCTGCAGCATCCTGAAGTGTTAACAATGTTAGAAATCTAGTGCAACAACTTTCCCTTGTCTTCAAAGCTGTGGAAGGGGTAAAAATTATCCATAGGAGGAGGCACCTGCACCAACAGAAACAGAGTTTCCCATGTTTGACACTGGAATTGCTTCCAAATTTTCCCTGCCGTTGCTCTGTGCCTGTTCTTCTCTTCTAACTCAGCCACAGCAGTTGACAAACAATGAAAGACATTAAATATACACAAATCGTGAAAGAAAAGCAAGCAAAGCAGAGGAACCCAGCATTTAATACTCAGTGACTTTTCATTCTTCTTCTGCACTACTTGTGGAGGACAAAATGGAGAAAATTTTGCTTGCAATCCATAAATTTCAGGTTGTGTCAAGGTTGCCCATCTTCCCTTTGTGATCTGAACTGACAAAGAACTCATCCCCTTTAACTACAAGCATGACTTCCCATTTATCCTGCATTCTGTACTCCTGAAGCACCACCTTTACCTCTTTCTTATCTCCTTGACTGCTTCCCTATTTTTTTCTTGCATTTCTAATCACTTCTGGTGCATCTGTTATCCAGGTTAACGCATCTGCCTCGGCAGGGGTCTCTGGTACAACTGAGAACCTAATTAGCTGCAGAGGATTTCATGGAGTCCAGGAGCATAGCAGAAACCAGGCAGGCTGAGGCATTTTCAAAGATAACAAGGTACCCAGGACCCTCATAGTGAGGGCCAACAGCAATTTTTGGAAAAAAAAAAAAATAGATATTTTCTCTTCCACCTCATGCTTGAAGGTGCAATACTACTGCTAACAGGAAAGGTGTGGTGTTAAATCTCTGTTGACAGGGAGAGATGCAACAGAAACCTGGTGATTGCCATGGTGATTTCCACACCGTTGGTGGGAGGGACAATGGTGGCACCATGCAAGATCCCCAGTTAGCTCTTCCTAATGCACTGAGGGGAGGGAGACGGAAGCAAGGTGTAGGAGCAGGAATTGAGTGTTACATGCTGTTGGAAACAATGGGGTGAAGTAGACAGACTAACAGGTCTGTCTGATGGCAGGTCCTGGGTGCTTCGTGGAGCTGCTCATGGGTTTAAAAGTAAGCACTTCAATGCCTATTGGCTGCACAAGGGCTTTAGTGCTCTTCAAACTAGTGAAGCAGATGATACTTTAAAGGCATTAAAAGTAGGTTAAGTATTTCACTGACTGAGTAGATATTTGAATAAAATTGACAGCCTTTAAGTGTAGATGAGGAAATAGAGGGGGTTCTCAGTGGGATCATCTCTATAGGGTTAGAGAATAGCTCTGCTTTATTCCCTCTTCAGTACTTGGTCTCCCTGGCATGACTGCCAAAAAAGGACAAGTTGTACCAACTCTGATGGGAGTTATCATTCCACTTACTAACAGACTGAGACAAGCAATTCTTTTTTACACAGGCCACCTAGAAACCAACAACAAAAAAATACAGGGAAGAAAGAAGGAGAAAATAATTTTTTTTTTTTTTTCATTAGTCACTATTAGCCAGTTAGCTGGGCATGTTCTAAGAGGGCTGAATTGCAGATACAGGCAAACGCAGGCACTGATACAATGTGATCCAACCCAGTGCAGCTGATCTGTGCAAGGGCTTGGCACCTTCACTGGGCTGAAAGGAGCTGGTTAACCCTTACCCCTTCATCATCTAGAAGCAACTCCTTCACATCTGATTTAATGAGTCCACTTTAAAGAGCTCTGAAGCATGGTTAAATGCATTTAATATACATTTTACTTCTGTGATTAGTAATACCTGAGATGACTAAAACTGAAAAATTGTATTTTCTACCCCCCCTTTTTTTTAGCCTTTCACTCAGATGAAGTAACAAAATGAGGTTACATGATTTCCCTTTGGAGCTTATAATCAGCAATGTTATTTTAATAATCTACATTTAGTTCCACTTTCTGTTTCTTAAATGCTAGTACAATGCGGCAGTGTTTTGGTTGCAGGCTCAGGAAGACATTTCGAAAGCCAACAAACGTGATCACAACAATTTGTTTTTGGTTAATATTATTCCTTTTAAATGTCATTAAATATTTCTACCAACACTGGTGTGGTTTAACCCAGCACACAACTAAGTACCACACAGCTGCTCACTCACATCCCACCCCCAGTGGGATGGGGAGGAGAATCGGGGGGGGGGGGGAAGGTAAAACTCCTGGTTTGAGATAAGAACAGTTTAATAATTGAAACAAAGTAAGCACTGTACCACCTACTAAGAAGAAAATTAACTCTATCCCAGCCAAAAGCAGGACAAATATTAAGTTTTGTAAATCTTTTTGAAAGTAATTAGATTTCTGACCTTAAGCTGTCTCATGTCGGGCAATAAAAATCAGCTTTAAGAAAATGCTCTGAATTAGCTTTAACAACTTTTTCAACCTGTAAGAGATCAGCAGATCCATATGATCTGATAGTGTAGTGGTAGCATATTTTTGCAATTCCTGGTATTCCTTGTGGCAGTAAATTGAAGCTTTGGCATCACTATTGGAAAACAACAGGTTATGTTATGTAAATATAAGTGTCATCCACGCTGAGTACACCTACACGAAACAGGCAGTATTCTTACAGTCAGCACAACTTTATAACCTTATTTTTGAAATCAGCCATGTTATTAACTCACCCAGTGTTATAAGGAATGAAATATTTATCCTATGAAAGATAGGAATTAGTAACAATAATAACTTTAAAGTCCATAAATATAAATGCATTATTAATCATTAACAGAAATCAGGCCATTAATATTGCTTCAAAGTTCTCTAGGAGAGGAACTGTAGGAAACTGAGGTTTTTCCTCTATATCTTATACATGGCTACTTGTCCTCTATTAAACAAAAAAGTGATTGCTTAGGAAAAAAATCTGTTGCTATTTTGCATGGCTGTCCCTCTTTTGACACCATCTGTGGTCAGATTAAATGCTGAGATCTGAAGCAACATCTCTGTGTTTAATCTCTTGTTGATACTTCTGCAGATTGAGAGGTAAAAAAAAAAAATGATTACAGGAGGCTGACCACTCGTACTAGTGTGAGTTATGCCAGTGCCATCCTAATGAATTTCTTAAGTCAAATGTAAATATGACCCTGGAATATGGAAACATACATTTTTCTTCTCTGAGGTCTAATAAAAACACAAAAGCTTTCTGTGTTGTTCAATATGGCATTAGAAGTGCTTCACAACATATCCCCAGACCCTTTGCAGCTTCTGAGGCTGAAATTAAAGTAAGCTGAGTTTCCTGCAGGACATGAAGTGTTTTCCTTTTAATTGTTTACAATTTGCTCTCTACTGTGCCTGTGCTTGGAGCCGATACCATAAAAAGCCACTGACAAATCTGAAGCGGCTGCTTTGCAGCCAGGAAAGCAGAAGAAACGTGCGCAGGGGGCTTTCCTACTGACAGGCAATAACTCCGCGGTAAAAGACCCAGCAAAGTTACAAACCACATACTTTTGCCCTTGCATGGAGCATAAAATAGGTCATGGCAGAGAGACGCTGTGGCTTTAAGTATTGCCCGGCCTGAGCCGGATTATCATTAGGTTACGTAACTGCTGATGAGCTGCTTTTCATTAAGGCTTCCCCGAGTGGTGCTGGGAGCAGGCGCTGCCTCCAACAACCATCCTGGGGAAGGATTTCCTCCAGGCGTGCCGCCGTGCTCTTTCGAGCCCCGCAGTCTGCAGCTAGGCCAAGGTGATTGTGTGAACTGGAACATGCTAAGTCGCTGTCTGAATGTGAAACAACCCATTCACCTTTACGGGGTTGTGCATTAATTTCAGCTGAAGTGTGTTTGCAAAGTTGTAAAAGTAAGAGGTTCAGAAAAGATGTTAAATCAGTGTGTTAAAAGCATCCTGGGTCCTGGCTTGGAGCTTTTTTTTTCTTTAGTGAAATGCATCCTCTGCTGCAAAACCCTAAACCTTCATATCTTTTGGTCTTGAACATGAGCAAAAAGACTGTTGCACAGGAAATGACAGAACAACACTACAGCAACAGCACAGCACACCTGCACCTCACACCTGAGGAGGTAAAAAAAAAAAAAGTAGAATGCAGCTGGTTTTAAGCATAGAAACATGCATGCTTGAAGCACCACACAGTGTTCAGGTAGGACCCTCAGGTGAAGTGCTTGCGTCCATCGCTCTGTTTCACCTCAGGATGAGCTGAAGGCCGAGTGATGTTCATCCTCAGGTCTCAATTCTTCCATGTGCAGCCTTTCAGCTGTTGTAGGAGCTGACAGTGGTGATTCTGGAAAGACGTTCCTCTGGCTCTCACAGGTGGACAGGCCCCACGCAGGCAGATGCATGCTGCAATCCTGGCAACCTGCTAGTCCAGATGCCATCACCAAATGCCATTCTTGCACCCTTCTCCTACCATTTGCTCCTCCTGGTGCTCCCTCTCCTGGCATTCCTATTCAACACTCCATTTAGACCAATCCAAAATTTTCTGCTGCATTTTAAGGGGGTAAGTAAGTTGGTAGTGACAGAGAAGCTCAGCCTGAAACAGACTCAAGCCCATATTCAGCTCTAAAGAACCATACTCATACTAAGTGGAGGCAATACTATCACCAAAGAAATTATTTATTACTTACTACAATGCTGAGTTTGGCCAAGAAATTTCAAAGTTCTGTATTATTAATTTTGCCTTCTTAGATTAATGACCATACTCTGCCTACCTTGTGATTTACAAGAAACTCAAAATTGGCTGCTTCATAATCTGAACTAAAGCCTGAAAATGGCTTTTAGCCCAAGTAAGTTGTAAGGAAAAAATGGGCTACAAGTGACAGCGTCACACAGAGAGCTTATGGCAGGAAACAGGACAACAAGGAGACCCTGGCACTGTTCTGGTTGGTGATTCCATCACTCTCGCTTGACCTATGCTTAAACCTCTTAAACACTGCTTTGTATATGTAAAATGAAGTTAATCATATCATCTTGTTTTACAAAGTGCTCAGGCTAGAGAAGATCTAACAATAGCAAATTATTTGTCATCTGAAGTCAGTTGGAAATTAAAGCTGCTTTCAGATAAAGTTTCACCCACCATGAAATCACTTACCTGGCAGGAGAGGCCTTTGTTTTAGACTTAATTTTAGTAAGTTTTGAAGTAATTTAATTTTGCTGATGGATTTCATTTTTATTTTGTGCGTATTTCAATGAGGCATTTAATCTTTTCTATAATACGTTTTGAAGTCTCATTCATTTAAATTGTCAAAGCCTGACAGCTCTGTAATGTGCTTAAACCCAGCATTGTTTATATCTGCATTCCATTTAAAAATTAACTTGCAGATTAAGTAATAAAAATGGTCTTATACTTCTCAGTGCTAATATCAGTGAAAACTTACAATGTCCCTACCGCCTGAGATTAGCTCCTATATTACTTTCTCGTGAGGATTTCATGGAGGGGAATATTCTAACATTACGCTCTGGTCGTGAAGGCTGAGCGTTTTCTGCCTGAATAAAACCAAAGCGGGCATAAACCTGCAGAGGCAGTGGAGAGCTGGCAGCTCAGGAAGACGCTGGGACTTTTACACAGCTTCCTTCCCTCGCTGCTGTCATGAAGTGAACAAGACCAGAAGGAATCTATTAGCACTTCCACCTAGATGTGTTGCAACGAAGGGTCATGCAGCAGCATGCAGTGGCTGTTAATGTTGCCTCAGCCCCTACCAAGAATGCAATTAAAGGAGAATCAGAAGCATTCGTTCCTTACCTTGTGGACAGCATGACTTTTGCAGCAGATTTGTTGTGGGTGTGTGATCTCAGGTCACTGATCTCCTCTGTCTTGTACCTTCACCACTTCCCCGCTCATTCTGATGCTTTTGTTCACACACACAGGCCTGAAACTCTAAAAAAAAAAAAAAGTTTACTATTTGTCTAGTTGAAGATGGACACAACATACAGCATTTTATATAATATGCACACACAGTTAACCTGGCTGCAACTGATATAAAATAGTCCAAGAAAAGTCTTACAGATCCCAAAATAACTGATAAGCCTGCAATCAATATTCCCTAGCCCTTTACCTGCCGAAGGGTTAACTCAGGCTTATCCTGCCCATTCCCCTCACAGGTGCTCCAAAGATAAGGAACCAGTTATGAAATACAGCTTGCGTGGGGTTTTTCTGGGAAGCAGAGAACTTCAGAGGTGACTGTGTGGACCCTAACAAAGGTGCAGATTTCCAAGGAAGACAAAAATTGAGATCAGACGACAATGTGGGTGACCACACTGGGTGGATTTGCAACGTTGTGTGTTTGACTGGGCCTTTTGAGGCCAACTTGTTTTGTTGTAATATTGGCACTCTCAAGCATGAGGAATAAAGAGCCCTCATGGAGGAAAATGAGCCACCTGAAGCTCTGGTCTATTTTAGCTGTTAAACCCATTGAGTTGTTTTGCCTCGTGACACGTGAGGTGTTTGGGGATTTCACAGATCCACACAGAGGATGAATAATGTAACCAGATGCAGCTTGAATGTGATAAAATAGTTGACAGAACAATTGTGGTCTATCCATGTGCAGCAGATTTGCATGGAAATAGCCAGAAATGACAGTAAAGAGACCAAACGATGGGTTGAGGTCTGCGTGGGACCATCTATCATCCCATACTGCTTACTAAACTTTGTTTTGGTGTTCTGAGCTGATCCAAGGTACATTTCAGTGTTTTTGATGCCAAATGGAGAACACCACCAACACAAGACGAAAGCGGTAAGTCTTCTGTGAAGCCTTGGAACACAAAACCCAACAGGTAACTTCCAGGACTGGATGCCCCTGCACACTGACAGCAGCTCCTGCCACATGAGCAGGGCAAGACCCTGTCACCTTGGGCTTGCCGAACCTGGCCCCACAGCCAGGCGTTGGGATGTTGGGGGAGCCAGGAGAAGCTGCACCATGTCTCAGCCCGGGAAGGTGTGAGGGGTAGGGAGGGCTGGCCAGAAGCTGAGGCCAATATGGGGACAGGAGTGATGGCACCAGCGGGGCAGCGGGCCGGCGAGGTGGGCTTCCCGGCGGGCAGCGCCTGCCTGCGGCCGGTGCCGCCAGACCCCCCCCGCGGGCCAGAGCGGGCAGGTCCCGGCCGCCCCCACTGCCGCCAAGATGGCGCCCACTCCCCCTACCCCTTCTCGGGGGGCGGCGGGCCCGCGGCTTCCCCAGCGCCTCCGCCCCGCGGTGCTGCCGCTTGGGTCAGGCCGGGCCGATCCGAGCCGCGGCAAGGGGCCGGCGACGGGAGGGGAAGATGGCGGCTGAAACCGACTGAGAAGGAGGAGGAGAGATCCGACCCGGGCCGTGGCTGCCTCCTCCGTCACCGCCCCCCTCGTCCTCGTCCAGCTCCGCCCCGTCCCACCGGGAGGGAAAGCGGCGAGCGAGCCGGAGCCCCGCAGCCGCGCCGCGCTGCCCAGGCAAGGGGCCCCGGGTGCCCGGGAGCCCGGCAGCGGGAACCGGGGCCCCCAGAAACGCCCGCCGCCGCTCGTGCTCCGGTCACCGCGATCGCCGCGGGGGCTGCTGCGAGCCGGCAGCCCCCCCCGGGCCGCCCCCGCCGCCTGGCCGGGGGAGTCGCTGTCGCGTTGCCCGTTGAGCTCGGCGGCCTCAGCCCCGGCGGGGGGAGGCGGCTGTCACCCAGGCAGCGGCGGCAGGTGAGTGGCGCCCGGGCGCGCCGCAGCTGGCGGCGGGGCGGGAGGACGGGCGGGCAGGCGGAGGGAAGGGGGGGCGGCCCGGGCTCCCCGCCGCGCAGGGCGGGGGTGTGTCTGGCGGGGTCGGCACACCGCCCCCGGCCCCCGCAGAGCCCCTGGCCTGCGGGGAGGTGCAGCTGTCACGGGGGGACGACCCGGCCCCCCGCCCCGGGGCTGCCATGGCGGCGGGCGGAGCGCGGAGGGGCGCCGCGGCCTCCCCCCCCTCCTCCTCCTCCTCTCTCCCCTCGCCCGCCCTCCTTCTCTCACGGGGGGCTGAGAGGGCCGCCCCGGGAGACCCTGCGCGGAGAACCTCTCCGGCCCGGGCACCGGAATCCCAGCCCTCCCTTTCCTTTATAACCCCTCACCCCTTATTAATGTAAAGTTGATTGCAAAAGTGAAAAAGCAGTTTTTTCTCTTCTCGCCCCCCCCTCACCCCACCCCCAGCCTCTTCCCGGCTGGAAGATGGCTGAGGGGAGGCAGCGGAGCCGCGGCCGGGCCTGCGGGTACCCGCGGACTTCCCCGGGCAGGGAGGACGCTTCGTTTGGTGGCGGTTTAGGTGACAGCTCTTTGTCTGCGTTGTGGCATCGTATGTCCCCCCCCTCGGTGTGTGTGTCTGTGGTCCCCAAAACCACCTCCAGCCACGGCAGGGCGGTTCTGGTTATCAGGGGAGGCAAGTAAGTTGAGGGCTAAGGCAGCGGTGCGGTTGTCAGGGAAAGGTGGGGGTGGCCGTGAGGTACCGGGTGCGTCTTGGGGCCATCGAATCAGGGAACAGCCGAGTTGTCAGGCAGGGTGTGTGGGGAATTGGGCTCCCTGAGGGGTGTCTGAGCTTCCAGGTTTGGGGGGGCTCTGCAGGAGGCTGGTGGTGAATCTAGCGTCTGCCTCCCTGCTTCTGGCAGAGTGCTTGCCCTAAATTTGCTTAATTTCTCTTAGAGGCATGGACCAGCACCCGACTGCGAATAATCCTAAATACCTGCGGTGCATATGCAAGTGGTAGCCCTGGCTTGTGCAGTGGTGGGGCTCCAGCCGCTGGAATATGACATTTAGTGGTAGAAAAATCTGTTTGTGGAAAGGCTGTTTCCTTCCGATGTAAGTTGCTAGACATGCTTGAGCCCTCTGGTTTCCGAGGTGCGTTTTGACCTTTCAGTGCCTGAGAACTGGGTCGTGTGTGTTGGGTAATGATCTTCCAGTGTCTTTTGCACCCAAAAGATCATGTTTGCAAAGGTGGAAAGGTGTTTAGCACTGGCTGGGGCTGCTGCTTGCTTCTGCTGGAAGGTTAATCAGTGTACAGTAGATATCAAATGTTCACTACCCACGTATGGCATAGCCAAAAAAAAAAAGAGTGACACAGCAAAGTGCATTAAAACTGGAAATTTGGACTCATGTGGGTGGTGCTTGTATGTTCTTCACCCTGTCTCATGGCTTGTGTTCTTTGTGTTGCTGGTTTAGACTGAGAAAAAAAAAAGACTGGGTTTGTGTGGGCTGGCAGGATATACTTATATATGTGTGTGTAAGAGTTGTGTGTGTCTGTATATAAGGAGTAATATACCTGCTGCGTTCTAGCAGCAAGATGATAAACGTATATGAACAAAGAAGATGCTTCATATACTTGTCTGGAAATGTGCTGTCCCACTGCAGTTTGGAGGTTGTGATCTTCTGCTTGTAGAATATTTCAGTAAACGTGTATGTGTTCTGAACTCTCTACGCTGTGCCCATTGGCTTTCTTACACAAGAGAAAGTAAAAAATACATGTACGTATGGAAGTACATGCAGTATGTGATACAGGTGTAGTTATATACCTGGGCCTCTTGCAGTGCAGGAGGGAGAGAAGTGTTATAAACCAGGAAAACTTGGATACAAAGCCACAAATTTACAGGGAAGCTTGAAAAGTGGTGTAGTATCTGCAGCTTTGCAGAGCTGTTTTGTGAAAATTATTAAAGTTCAAGTTGCCACTTAAGGGGACAAACAGCTCTTGATGGTAGATAATAAAACAGTAGTAACTCTGGCAGTACTGCACCTGGCTCCAAGCCGATGGGCATGATGAAATGTTAAATCTCAACTTATTTGCTCAAGATGGGTATCTGTTGTTTGAAACGTGTTGCCAAACAATATGGCAGCACAAATCCTTGCTTCCAAAACAAATAGGCTTCCTGAGATGCGAGTGGAGGTTTGGCTCTTTGGAAGGCAAGCCTTTACTTCGTATTCTCTACGGGCCAATTTTGATTTTTCATGTGTTTTCCCCAAGCCTTGCCCTCTGATAATGCTACGACACATGCTCACAACTGCATGACTAATTCATACAATTAGTCATACACTTCCACTGTAGATTTATTGGAGCAGTGTCACTGTTCTTCTGTTGTAAAAGTCTGTATTTGGGAACATTGTGCCCGCTGTTGACTTGTCTTGGGTCTCTTGGCGGGGTTGTTGGGTGGGCTGTTATGAACATTTGAAGCCTTGAGGATAATTAAGCTTAATTATAGAAGCATATTTTTCAAGGAACATATCTGCTGGAGATCAGCACCTTGTTGCTTGTTAATCTGAGGGGGGTAATTTGCATGAGACTTTGCAATGATTGTTAGAAATGAAGGTGTGAGTGCTACTACCAAAAATATCCCGTCTCCTACATAAATAGTTTGCCAGCTGAAAAACAGTGTATTTTGTATAAGGAAACTATTTATATGACGAGTTATTCTTGTTTTGCTCGGTTGACTGTTTCTTTGAAGCATGGTTCTTATCTCTTCGATCAAAGGAATTTAAAAAAAATAGTTTTTAAAATGGATTCTGCCTTTAAAGACAAGATTTTAAGCAGGAAGGGCTTGGACTAACAGATAAATATTTTAAGCAGGTATTCCTGAAAGGCCAATGCAGTGTGTAATACCCCATAGCATGTGGCCATTGCTTCTACATAGGATCTTTAATTGCTGGCAGATGCAAACAAGCAATTTTTTTATTGGCGGTTCTATGTTATTTGTATTGCTGCAGCATCCAGGAACCCCAGGCACAGGCTGGGTTTTCAGTGGAGTAGGAGTGAGGCAAAAATGGAGCGAAAGTGCACTCCACTTCCCAAAACTTTCAGCCTAAACCTAGAGGCAGAGGAGCAGAGTTGTGAAGGGGAAGCAGCTGGCTGGTGGTGGTCAGCAGTAGACACAGTATGTGAGTAACATAAATACGGAGTTTTGGGGTTTATTTTTAATAATGTTGCAGCAAACAAGTGCTTCATCGTCTTCTGGGAGCTGACTGCCTGCTGTTGTGCTGCTGAAGCTGGGCTGCCCACTGCCAGGGCTGATCCAGCCCCTCAGAGCCACGGTGGGTGAGGGAGGATGCACAGGAGCAGCTCTGTTGATGGGTCTGAGAACAGCCGGGAGCTTTAACCTCTTTCCCTGGCACAGCAGGATCTGGAATAGGATGTTTGCCTGTAGCTGCAATATTAAAAATTATGGCTTGCTTGTAAATGGCTTCAACTCTTTGCATACGTAGCCTTGCACATGTGAGTCAGGGTGATGCAGAACAGGTTTTTACCACTATGGCAGCATCTCCATATAAAGTTTGACCATTTGAAATGCTGCGGCTTTGCTGTGGGACAAATTTTAAAGGACTCAGAGGCCTGGTCTAGGTATAAAGGATGTGTCAGCACCGTGCACTTCACCTGGGCTCCTGTCATTTACAAAGGAAAAAAGAAAACCAAAACTGCTGAACTGGTTTGGAGGTTCTTTAAGCCTGAACTAATTTACCAGGCTGGGAATGTAGGTTAGAAACTAGGCTTCGCTTGGCTTTGGGCTAGTGCCAGTATGCTCCGCAGGGAAAACACAGGCTAAATAGCTTCTGCGCTGATAATCCTGAAATACCATTCCTACTGTTTCCCCTGAACAGATAGGTAGGTTCTCATGCAGTTGACCTAATTGACTGGGAAGCAACTCCAACACATCTCAGCACAAGGAGCAGCAGGATGTTTCCCTTAGATGCTCTTGGGTGAGCGGGGGGAAAAAGTAATGATGGACTTTTGTGCACAGACCTCACCCAATTGCTCAGGTCCAAGGGATGAGGTTGCAAGGCCTAAACTAGGTAGATTTGTTAACCAACTTAGGTAAATCTGCACATAGATATTCTTAAATCTGTTTAAACCTGCTTACTGGTTTATTATGTTCTGTAAGCTGAGGCAAGCTGTCCTGGCAGTCGTGTTTAAACCAGTGTGTGTCTGCGCAGAGATTTGCTGTGATTTAGTGAAGCTGATGCAAGTTGCTGAGTTACAGGAAGGTGATCTAGGAAAGCAAAACAGAGCAGTGTATACGTAAGTCAGCAGTTTGCTAGCTTGCCTTGGTTGGTGATCTCTATAGTATTCATATTTTGCTCTAAGGATCCACAAATTGTCAGCTTCTTAAAGCTGATCAGTGGAGGGGCATAGATGGGTTTTTCTGCGGAGAAAAAGCCCTCAAGGGTTAGATTCTGTTTTAAACAAGCATCAGAAATGTTCCAGTCAAGACTGATCCTGCAACTAGCTTTTTTGTAACACAAATCACTAAAATATCTATTTTGAGCTATTTATGCTTATTTTTAATTATCTATAATGAAATATGCTATGAAACAAACTTTAAACATTGCCTTTTTGGCTTATTTG